TAAAGAATCTTTTCATTAAATATAAAGAAACCATTACAATTAACTCCATGAGTAACAAGTGAACACGCCATAGTTATATACAATAATGATCTAACAAACAATGGGATGTGTGCTATCCGCCTTACTCCCTGTTCCTTATTTGGTTGTGAGCTTAGGGCAGATGCGCACAGTCGATTGCTTGTTTACTTTGAGTTTTATATCACTTGTATCCATTTAGTACTCATAGAAAGGATTGTAGGATCATTTTTACGTATCTTTCATCAAAGTAGGAAATATAGGATTTCCTAAGAGGAACAGGCGAACTTTTCTAAACAGAACTTACAACTCACTACATTTTTCAACTACATTTTACAACAACAACTTACTTACATCACTAAAATCTTATGAACTCACCAGCTTAATTGCTGATCAACTCTTTCAAATAACTTGTATTCTCAGGAGCCTAGTAGACAGGTACTCGCGCTGGGAATTCAGAAGATGGAGCAATATAGCTTCAAGTCTTGATTGTTATTTGCTTATGTATTCTATGTTTTGTGAACACACACTTTGTAAACACTTTCTTTCTAATGAAATGGTTGTTCATTACTTTGCTTACTATGATGCATGTCTTGTGATACTAAACATGACGTCCTCCACCCCAGAACGTTTTCCGTCGTTCCGGTTTTGGGGTGTGACACTTTATGTCCCTAAAACAACTATCACAGGGGACCTAGTCTAAGGATTTTCATCGGGGTGGACATTACTGCGAAGGGGTTTCCTCCACAATAAACATCCTAAAGGCAACCATGAGGGGGATAGAGTACACCGGTGAACACATCGTTCACAAACACCTACAGGTTATGAGTCTGCTAGCGTTCCACTTGACTGTCTAGAAAGAGTCTGTGGTTGTCATCCATACTCCGCTAGATGACTAGATCAACAACAACATCGAGGCCTCTCATCATTTTATTTCATCACACAACAACTGTCTACCCATGTTCTACCCAACATATTAGTAGATAAAAATATATACATTTATATACAGCTTAAAACCTGTACAAAACATCCATTCAACAACTAGTTCAAATAAACAAATAATATATAAATACATAGCACATATTTTATAAAGAATACTTCATATCTATGTGTTAGAAGAAAACGAATATACACTCACTTGATAAGACAATGATCGGACAGCACCTCGTCTCTTAAAACAATCGTTTCCGATAAAACCGGGATGCTTTTCTTGAAAACCGGGCTTCTCGCGGGCAGAGTTTCGGCTCGGAAACTTTACTTCTCGGGATCCTCGGGGCTTCGGGATTTGCTTCGGGTCTCGAGAATGATACCGGGGCTTCGGGGTATAAGTTGCACGCAAAACGAGGCAATAAGAAGTGAGAGAGAAGAAATGAGCAACAAAATTCGGCAGCCCTTGAGTTCTATTTATAGGGGCTGATCCCTGCGATTATGCTGGGCGTAACTTCAGAGTACGTTGGGCGTACTCCCTCTACAAGCAGTACGCTGGGCGTACATCGAGTACGCTGGGCGTACTCTTCGGATAAGCTTTGGTATGCGTGCCTCGAACTTCAAAAATTCTTAACTTTCGCATACGAGCTCCGTTTCCGACGTTCTTTATATCCACGCGTAGGTGAGACTATGCTCTACAACTTTCATTTAGACTCTATCGGCTAATTTTGACTTTATTTTTATTATATTATTTTTAGTAGGCCGGGACGGGAAAACTACGTTATAAAATCATAACTTCTTAATCCGACGTCCGTTTTCGTCTGTCTTTTTACTGTTGGACTACTAACGACGAGATCTTCGATTCTCGTTTAGATTGTTTCGGCTAAATATCACTCTATCTTAATTTCGAGATTTGGGTTGTATACCGCTAAGTCGAAACTTAGAAAAATCATAACTTCCTCATACGAAGTCAGATTTAGACGTTCTTTTTATGCACGCTCTCGGTTTAACGAACTCTAAGACTTCCGTTTAGATCACTAAGGCTAAATATCACTCTATCTTAAATTCGTATTTTACGTCATATAGTGTCGTGTCGGTTCTGTCGCGAAACTTCAACAGGTCATAACTTCTTCGTTATAACTCGGATTTCGGCATTCTTTAAATATTCGGAAGCCTTGCCACGACCACTACAACTTCATGTATCGATATCAGGCTTATCTAATATTTTATTTTATCGCTTATTTTTATCCTTAATTCATTTAAGTCACATAATTAAGCACAAAACACATAATACTCAAATAATACATCTTTATTATTTCAAGACGGGTTACAAAGGCTAACCTAGACTATTACATCAACATTAATGCCTAGCCCAGAAACACGGGCGTTACAATTCTCACGTCGTGAGCTCCAAGGGTTTTAACAGAAACGGGACTGCTTCGATTCTCACATCGTGGGATCTTACACCCCACGTTGTGGGCACTGTCTGAGGTTAAGGGTCACCATTTTAAGTCCTTAACCCATTAAGTCTTCGATTCCACTTCATCTAGAAGATAAAGGAGACCCCTAACGTCCATAAAAATGTTTCATTTATGGCCATGTGTGCACCAAACATGATCATCCATTTTCTAGGTCAAAAAGGGAAGAAATGAGCTTCAAATTTGCATGCATGCCTCAAATCTATACCAACTTCCATATCTGAACACTATAATGCTCTTGGGACTCTTAAAATCCATAAAGTTGCCAACTTTATGGATCTACTCCACTCAATCATGCAATAACATCAATAAATTGGACAAAAATTAAGATCTATCCATGACAAGAAATAAAGTTGGAGCCTTTAATACTTTCAAGGGTCCAAAAGCAGGAAAAGATGATGATGATGCTGATTGTTTACCCACACCAACACTAGAGCACTTCCTTCTTCTTCTTTTCTTCTTTCCACAATCTAGAAATGCACCCAAATGACAAAGGATCTTAAGGAGGAGGGAGATTAGGGTTTCTGGAGGTCTAGAAGGTGATAGAGGCTGAGGGTGAGAAACCCTAGCCCTTTCATTCCTTTAAATACCGAAAACTTAGGGGTTTTGGTCATCATTTGTCGTCACGTCTAGCGATGTCAAAAAGTCCGGTGGGACCCCGAACCCGTGGGGCCCCCGATCGTATATGGTGGATATTTGTTAAAAAAAATGGGGATGGGGGCGGGGGCGGGGGCAAGGTTAACCCCCGTTTTAATTTCGGGGGTGGGGACGGGGGTAGGTAGTCCCGTCCCGAACCCCTATGGGGGCCCCGTTAATATATTCTAGGCATTTATATATATATATATATATATATATATATATATATATATATATAATAATAACATTGGTTTTGAGCTTTCAAAAGTCAACAGAAAATTTTGTTTTTAAATCGTTAGTATAATGTTTTTGAGATTTGATAACATTTTTGTATTTAACATGTAAAATTATGTTATAGATAAGTACTTTTAACCTAAAAAAATAGCTTCTTTAAGACCAAAAAACAACTTCTTTTAGCCCAATAAAAAGTATCCCAAAATCAATCGGGGGCAGGGGTGAGAAGGCTGGAAATTTGGAGGGCGTGGGCGGGGTGGGGGAATGGGGAAATTTCGGGGGTGGGGGCGGGGGATGCAATCCCCGTCCCGTTTGCCCCCATTGACATCCCTAGCCACGTCGTGAGAATTAGACTGCTCACGTCGTGAGCCTTAAAATGATTCACGGGTCCAGATCACTCTTCACGACGTGAGAAGGCATTCCTCATATTGTGAGAAGGGCAAAAAGGGAAATTTTTAACTTTACAATATGGAATATAATATGTACATGATCCGGGTGTTACAGACACTCTCTCTCTCTCTATATATATATATATATATATATATATATATATATATATATATATATATATATATATATATATATATACTACCTTCGATTACACTGATTACTCTATGAAATCGAGTCTATTGATGGGTGGTAATGACGATGTAGTCGGTGAATTAGCTAAAGCTGCTCAAGAAGATGAAATTTAATTAGGTCTTTATCTTTCTTCATGGGATAGGCACAAATCTACATACGTAAAAACCCTAGAGTATAATGAATATTACATGGCTCAAATCAAATGACTAAATTGCTCACCAGCTAATCGAACTTCCCCCATTTCTTAATTTTTCGTTCATATTCTTGAAAGTAAACTTTGATTCCGTTAACAGATATGGAAACGAAATAGAAGTATGGGTAGATGGTGTGAAAGGGGAAGAAAAGAAAGACATATTCGAGAATTAGTTCAACATGATCTACCAGCTGTAACCTAGCTCTATCATCTTCTCCGATGTTGGTCTAGACATCAGATGGTGGCACAAATACCAAGCTAGTCTCGTTTTCCAAAAACCACATTCGAGCAAAGAGGACTGCTTTCATCATCTGCTCAAACCACAATCGAAGATGATTCTCTATATGAAGGAATTGGTTTGTACAGAAAGTGTATGGATCTAGTTGAGAAGTGTTTGAGAGATGCGAAGATGGATAAGAGCAACATACACGTCGTGGTTCTCATGGGTGGGTCAACCCGGATCCCTAAAGTTCAACAACTGTTGCAGGATTTCTTCAACGAGAAAAATCTTTGTAAGAGCATCAACCCAAATGAAGCGGTGGCTTATGAAGCTGCAGTTCAAACCGCCATTTTAAGAGAGAGAAAGAGATGTATTTTTTTAATCATAAAAGTATTTAAATAAATAAATAAAACTAAAAATACATATAACAAAATAAAAAAAAGTTAGCCCTTTAATGCGAATGTAAATTTGTTTGGATGAAAATGATAATTTTTGACCACCCGTTTTATCTAAAACTTTTTTAGGAAAATCTAATGTGGGCCACTCCGCCAGCCGATTCAGACGAAGTCTACCAGAATAAATAAACGACAAAGATTCATAAAAACCGATAGGATTGTTTGTCGTGTAGTGACCAAACTAAGACCAAACGCCGTCGTATTCTACGTATAACTCCCACCACACGATGTCGTTTCCTCTTGTCTCTCTTTCACCCTGTCGCCATCACTCCTCCAACCTCTGTTCTTCTGCAAATAAAGATTCATTATTAACGAATCCAATCACACAACTCCCTCCACCTCCACCTTCACCGCCGCCCTCACATTCTCTCTCTCCACCATTCTCCCTCAAAAGCAACCACTTTTCGGGTGTTTTTGTGTCATGTACTTCACGTTTGTATGTGCATGCTGATCGCCGGCCACCGGAGAAACGGTTGATATATAGATCTTTTGGCAAGTGGGTAAAGCCTAAACTGTAATGTGATTTCGTTTTGTCGCCGGAAAAATGAATATTGGTCGGCCGACGGTGGTGGTGGACTTGCCGATCATGCACGACAGTGACCGGTATGATTTTGTTCGAGATATCGGGTCGGGTAATTTCGGGATTGCAAGGCTTATGAGAGATAAACAAACCAAAGAGCTTGTTGCAGTGAAGTATATTGAAAGAGGGGAAAAGGTGAGTTCTTTGATTTCTTATTTATTTATACTAATTTATTCTTTTATTGTTGATTTTGATTGATGAAACACCCGTGATTCATGTGTGTTGGTTTAAATATAGAATTTGGTTTGATTTATTGATTAATCCGTTCTTTTTGTTTAAAGTCTTTTCTGTCTCTTTCCTTTTCGGGTGTTCATGGAGTCATGAAGTTCCATTGAACTAATCTTCAAAAAAAAAAAAAAATCATTTTGAATGACATTTTATAAATTAGGAGATGAAATTTCGAATTTTGTGTGTTTTTGGATCATTAGATTGTTGATTTTGGATACCCTTTTGATCTTTTTGTTTAGTTTTGGAGGTATTTATGCTAAATTTTGTTTTATAATTGTTGGTTATTATGTTAATGTTTTTTTTTCTTCAGATAGATGAGAATGTTCAAAGAGAGATTATTAATCATAGACCTTTGAGGCATCCTAATATCGTTCGTTTTAAAGAGGTTTGATATATAATATTTATTTCTTTTTTTTTCGGTTTAAAAAAAAATGCTAATAATAACAATAATAATAATAATAATTGTTATTTTTTTCATTTGTTAATTTGAAGGTTATGTTGACCCCGACTCATTTGGCGATTGTGATGGAATATGTTTCTGGAGGGGAGCTTTTTGATAGGATTTGTAACGCAGGGCGCTTCAGTGAAGATGAGGTATTTCTCTTGTTATATATTATATTTTGTTAAAAAAATAAAATATTCGAGCTAAATAATTAACAAATAACATGAAAAAACGTTAAAAATTAGAAACTTTGTGCAGGCTCGATTCTTTTTTCAACAATTGATATCCGGGGTCAGCTACTGTCATGCAATGGTATATATCACTTATCCTTTTTCTAAATTTGCATTTTTTTTATATAACGGAATTTAACAAACTTTTCAAAGATTTTTTATTTGTTATATTTGACAAAAGTAGCTGGAAGCTTTTGAAATATATAAAATTACATAAAATGACAATTGATTAAAAATAAATAAATATATAAATATATTTTTAAGGGTAATTATGGAAATTGATTTCAAAAGCTCGGTAGCGTTTTGTTAAATGCTACATGAAGTAGCTTTTAGAATTGGAGCGGTTTGTTTAAACTAAAAGTTAAACGCTCGTACTGCCAAACGAAGCTTTTTGTTTAAATTAGATCGTTTTGTCAAAAGCTAAAAACTAGAAGCTCCCAAACGCTTCTAAAAGCTCCGTGCCAAACACGCCCTTAGATACAAAGAATATCTACGAAGTAATTCTATATGCATCCTGTTATTACTAAGGCCGGTTGGTGTTATACTACACATATCATACTTTTATACTGCTACGTAGGGTTGTTCAGTATTTGGATAAAACCGAATTGTCCAATTGGACAATTCCGATCGGACTATTTGGTTCGGATATTCGGATTTTTGATTGGTTTTCGACAAAACGGAATTATTATTTTGGATTTCGGATTGGTTATGGTTTATAAAATAAGAACCGAATAACAACTTATTATTTATTTATTTTTAATATATATATATATATATATATATATATATATATATATAATTATTTATTAATTTTGTAATTTATTTTTTGATATAGGTTCAAAAAGTTTCGCCTAATAAAAAATATTAATATGCATTTTCTCTCAAAAGTTTTTTATTTATAAAATATTAAAATATAATATACATTCTTAATAGTTGTTTATAAATTTCAAATCGTAACTAAATAATTTGTTTTTTCTTCTTGTGTAAAATTCGGTAATATTAGAATTATATGTCGTTTTAAAATGTTTTAGTTTTTAAAAACCGAATTATAAAACCTATCCAACCGAATTGTAATTTGATCGGATCGGATCGGATTTGAATTTAGTTTGGACTATTCGGATCCATGTTTTGAAAACAGAAATCAATTTGGATTCACTTAATTGGATTGGATCAAACCGATCCATCTAAACGAACACCCCTCCTGCTACGTCATTATCACTTCATTTTTTTTCTTCCACCCCACAAAATTGACAGAATTTACCACTTTTTTTAATTGAATAAAATGTAATTTATTAAATGTAATTGCACCCTCTTTTTAATTTTATTTTTAGTTTTTGTTTTCTATGTTAATTTTGTCGTTCAGACTATTCCTGTGTTATTGTTCGTTCGAATTATCTTCGAGTTATTTTTCCATTCGGACTATTCTTGTGTTAGTTTTTTCGTTCGGACTATCCACGTGTTACATTTTCGTTTAGACTATCTTTGTGTTATTTTTCGTTCCGACAACCCTGTGTTATTTTTTCGTTCCGGTTATCTTTGTGTTATTTTTTTCGTTCGAACTATCCTTGTGTTATATTTTCTGTTCAGACTATCATTATGTTATTTTTTTTATTCGAATTATCCCGTGTTATTTGTTTGTTGTGATTTTCGTAAAAAAAAACTATTGAACAATACATCAATATTTCAAACAAAAAATAACATAATGATAATCTTAACGAAAAAAATAACACATGGATAGTACGAACAAAAAACTAACAAATGCATAGTCGGGACAAGAAAATAACACAGAGATAGTTCGAACAAAAAAAATAATATAGAGATAGTCAGAACGAAAAAAAAAAATAAAACATGGATAGTTTGAACGAAAAAAAAATAATATTAACGATAGTCAGAATAATATAGAGTGGTCTATAATAATAATAATTATTATTATAAAGGAATAAAATAAAATATAAAAAAAAAGACAAAAAAAAAAAAAATAGTCACAACGGTATGTAATTGCTGTTTAAAGTAATTAAGATGGTAATTAAGGATTTGAGGGATACAATTGAAGGCACGTATAGACACCTTATAACACTACCTACAATCACACTTATGTCTTTTCGCCCAAGTGACATAAATCTAAATCCAATATGATGTTACAAATGTGATTAGACTACAACTCAATACGCGTCCTTTCTTTTCATCCTTTTTGGATGTATCAAAGTATCCACAATTTTTTTTTTCTATCGATGACATTAATCCGAATCATGTTTGCCATACACATTATAATGTTGTTTGTCGTCTTCTATCCAACATAACAAATGGGCTATATAGACTTTTGTAAATTGATAAAAGGGTTAATGTCATGAATATAAATGGGTGATATAACTATTTTTATCCCCACAAAATACAATTGGTTAAATAAAGGCAGTGGGTAAGCAATTCGATTCACAAAATATCATTATTTAATTGGTGTATATGAACAAAAACAACCTGTTCGTTACCATTTTATGATACTTTTTTTTTTACTTCAAATTGTTTATGACATTAATTCTTTAAATATCATAACAAAACTAGTGTATTTGCTTAATATTATGTGTGTGAGAGATTATCAATCTTTAACACATAAAAAACACTAAACCTGTAGCAAGTTTGCCATCGTGACTTGAAGCTAGAAAACACATTGATAGATGGAAGCCCGGCTCCGCGATTGAAAATATGTGATTTTGGGTATTCGAAGGTAATATTTTTTTATCAACTTAATTAATAATAATAATAATAATTTTTTAATCTTTAACTCGATTAAAATCCGTTTATGTTTTAATATGTTTAAAGTCTTCTGTGTTGCATTCGCAACCAAAATCAACGGTTGGTACACCGGCATACATTGCTCCCGAAGTGTTGGCGAGGCAAGAATATGACGGGAAGGTAAAAGTTTTTAGAAGACATCAAAACAAGTCATCAACTAGACACATTTTATATGAAATTATTAATATTTGTGAAGATATGTAGATATTCGCAAAATATATTTGTTCATATTTTGCAAAATACTACATATTATAGTCTTATATGAAATTAGATTTTGAAATAAATAGCAAAATGTGACGTTTATGTAGTACGAACCATTAAAATAACTTTAAAAAATTCTATTTTACGAAGATATGTTGTGATAGTTGCCTAAAAGTTGGTCATTGCATAACCACATTTTGATCATTTTAATGAATTAAACCTTAACAAAGTCAAGTCTATTCTTTTTTTAGATTGCAGACGTCTGGTCATGTGGGGTGACATTATACGTTATGCTCGTTGGTGGCTATCCTTTTGAGGACCCAAATGAACCAAGAGACTTCCGAAAGACAATACATGTACAAAAAAAACTTAACTAAAACTTGTCGTATATATTAATGCTCCAAATATCTAATATAATATATTTGATGACTTGAGCATCTACATTTCAATCATCCGATATTAAATGACTGGACCATTTTTTAATCGTCCAAATATTTATATCGAATGAGTCGATATCAGATGTCTGATATCGACTAATTTCAAACGTATGTATCGTTTTGTTTATAACAAAACAAAACGTACACTTTTTTGGGTCTACAGAGAATTCTTGAAGTCCAGTATTCAATACCGGAAAACATCGAGATATCACCGGAATGTCGGGACCTCCTTTCAAAAATCTTTGTTGGTGACCCTTCACAGGTTAACTAATCAATAATCATGTTAGTTATTAATTAATGCACTGAATTTGTTAAGCAAATTGGTGTTTCTAATAACTTGTGTGCATGCATGCAAACAGAGAATAACAATGGCGGAGATAAAAACACATGAATGGTATTCAAAGAACCTGACTGCAGATCTGATGGATGAAGAGAAGATGATGATTAAACATTTTGAAGAGTTTAATGAACCGATGCAGAGTGTTGATTCTATCATGCAAATAATATCTGAGGCCACGATTCCTCCTGTTGGATTTTACGATCTTGATATGATGGATGATGATTTTGACATGGATGACTTTGACTCTGATCGTGAAGATATTGATGTGGACAGCAGTGGTGAAGTCGTATACGCTATATGATCTTATATTGATATATCTACGTACGCTGATAAAAGCATATGAAAATCATACCAACATTATATAAAAATTTATAATCGGTTTGTTTAATTGACCATTTTCAGTATTATCTATTCATAGATATAAGTTGGAGTGAAGAGAGGGTATAAAGTTACATCTTGATGATAAGTTAAAAAAGTAAACATCAAGAATAATTGTGGTTTGTTGCCTTTTAAAGCTTCAATATATATACAAATGTTTTTTTTATTCTTTCAAAACGGTACTGATTTACTTTATGTTTGATTTATGTCGATTTAACATCAACAATCGTGTGTGTTGTCCCTTTTAACATCTTTAGTTTAACTTGGTCAATTCAATTTTAGATTACCATTTTTTTTTTACCGTTTGGTCTTTTTGTCATGAATAATGAATCAAAAATAAAATTGTAAGTGGGTCATCAACCTCAATTTTTTACCGTGAATATTTTGATAAATTAATTTTTGATTTAATCAACCTCAATTAAATATGTAGATTTGCATAATAAAATTCTTTCCACTTTTTGGAAGATTAAACCAAATATTTTTTTTTCTTAAATTAAGTGTTGTTGAAAATTATATCATTGAATAATAACATACACAAATTCAACAAATTGTGTTATAATACAGCATCAATTATACTATTAGTCAAGATTATAAATTTTCAAAATTGTGAAAATATGTCAAGATTTCTATCTATTAAACGGAAAAATACAAATTCACAAAGTAACTTTACTGCTCTAGTCACTTGATCATGTACTAGATGTTGCTTTCATTATCACAAATTCACAAGCAAGAATAACATATACAATTAATTTAGTTCTTCAAAATAACTATTAATTAGTTAATTACCATCTAATTAAAGATCCAAGTTCTGGAATTAATGGTTAAATATATAATTTGGCAATTGGCAAGTTAAATTGAAACAGAAAGGATCAAAGCAAACCAAGGTGAGGTTAGATTCTAAAATGAAATTCAAAATTCATCTCAGCAGGAGAGTACAATCAGAAAATGCATCAAAAGACTAAAATAACAAACAGTACAACTAGAATATGCATCAAAAAACTAAAAATACGTATCACTTTTATTACTAATTCTGTTAATATGATTGATAGTTGACTTACCATTGACCAGAATCAATCAACAAGCAAGTGTACGATACGCCGGCCGGAGATACTATAGGCCTTGGTGCTCCACCCTCACCACCAACGGCTTGACCTCAGATCTGGAAGTAATGGCGGGACCAACAGCACAGCTTCCACTAGCTTGATCCATCATCGTACACGATCCCGGCGCTGTCGTAAGGTTGTTGATCCTATCCTTCTCTTCCAGATGTGGCGAGGTGGTGTCTACACTACCATCAGATCCATCGTACGAAACAGCAGAAGGATGAAGATGAGGGAATGGCAAGTAGATGCTATGAACAACGATCTTCAGGTTGCGCATCACGTCAGGGACCTTAATCCGGACGTAATTTATCCTCATCGGCGTAAATCCGCCGGCAGTTGTAGTCACCATTAGCGATTGTCCTGCTTCGAGCGTTGGCAGTAGCGTTCCAGATGAGATCTTCTCAAGGTCCGCTATCGCGAGTAGCCTGTTAGGAATTATATGAAATCTGACGTTGTTGACGTAGGAATGCGAACCAGAGAAGATAGAAACGTCGTCGAGTGCAAACACTGTCATGTTCTGGATATTCATCAGCTCCGGTGCTTTCATCTTCATCGCCAGAGCGAGGATGCTAAATCCGCTGTTGCGTAGCCTCAGCATAGCGTCTCTCAGCATCAGCCGCATCATGTAAGTTGGATAGTAAACGGCTTGGTGTGCAACGCTCTGTCGATTGTGATCTGCACTCTGGACAGGGAATGATAGAGACGTCATTCGTTCGACGTTACACGAGAATGGAGAAAGAGGAGCAACGTAGCCTTGAAGACCATGAACAACAACGAGGCCATTGTTAAACAGATCTGGACGAGTAATCTCCACACCTCCGATGTAGATCTTCGTGTAATTGTTCACACCAGTCGACGATGTCACAGTGATGCAACGACCAGGATCCATTGTCTCGATTTTCGTACCGAAAGCGAGTTTGCGGAGGTAATCGTGAGAGAACAAGCCTGGTACAATGTGTTCACGAAGAAGACGAACCACTGAACACGAAGAACAGCTTCGAATGGAGGAATCGGTCGGTGCGAAGAGAGTTGACGGACCGTTCCAGGTAGTGAACGCCGAGTCATCAGAAAGCGAAGGAACCGCCATGGAGAGTTCCTGGAACCCTAGGTTCGCCAGAATCGGCTCGAAGATCGACGTCGGTGAGAACGAGTCATGAATGTCGTGCGGCGAAGGAGGTGAAGAAGCGAAATCCAGAACAGACGGATTGTTCAGGCCACCGGTTGTGGCGGTTGCTCCGGGAAAGCAGAAACTCGAGAGCAAAATCGCTACGATAACGAGTGTGAGTTGGAGAGAAGGCGCCATTGGAGAGAATGTAGTTGCAGAGAGGAATGAAGGTGAAAGCGTAGTGAGGTGAGGCAGTTACAACGAAATCCAGCTATTTATAGGTAGTTGGGAGAGGAAAAGAAATCTAATGCGATTCATTCACCATGCCTTCATGTATGCCCGCTTCAGATTGTTCCACGTGTAATAAAAAGAGTATGAGAGTTTTCCATTTATGTATATGTGGAATTACGTAACTACCCTTGTATCCGTCGTTCATTCTAATAAGATGCATTTTATAGTTTATAAGATTTATATGAATAACTATAGTAATGATTATTTTCGTGGAGCCTATTTGACACATGCTTATAACTAACAGTGTTTAGTAATAGTAAATTATATTTACATTTCACAAATGAATAGTCCTTGAAAGACATGGTTTTATACACAGCGTTTTCCATTCTAACAAGCATAATAGCAATATACTTTTCAATTATATACACATGACAAGAATGTTACAACTTGGTTCATTCAATGTATATATTCCTAAAACAAAAATACATATGCCTCACTAGAATAACAAGATACTTACATTTCACATATGGGCAATAATAATTCTCAAATGAAAGACAATAGGAAGTAAAGTTGTGCCACTAACCAAATTGTTGATGCATCGAGCTAGCATTTATTGCATATAGAGGTAGAAGCCTCATGTGGTAACAATGGTATATATACGGGCAAATACCAAATTAACCTTGTCTCGAGCAATTTATAATAAGCTTGGAATAAGAAAATATGAATTAAGTCGCTCAAAAGTCTTTCTCGGATGCTTGCATTTGAGTATGAAATTGTAACATATTCAAGGTGGTCATAAAGCACACACATAGACCAAAAGCAAGGGTAATATTTGTAGATAATTAACACATATTGATACTTTGATCATTAAATATTTCCTCATCAAAATCTTCATAGCATATTAAATAACATTGGGAGAGTTTGTTCTTTGTTTAATGGATCATGAACTTACATCATTATCACATATTCACATAAAAAAGCCTGACATTTCTTACCAAAGATTTTAGTTTATTTGTGTCTAGTGCAACTACTTCAAAGCGAAAACACTATCATTTGGTGGTAGAATCGTGCTTATAAATTCTGTTCTTGGTATTCTTTTGATCTATTACTTCTCACTTTTCAAACCACCATTAAAACTAATTTGTGATCTTGAATGAATTGGGAGAAAGTTTCTCTAGGGTGGAAATGATTTGAACTCCAAAATTTGTTGGATTGCAAGAGACAATGTTCTTTAAGTCTTACTCCAATAGATTTGGGAGCTTTGGGTGTAGTACATAGGCGGATCCACATTGGAGCCTGGGGTATCCCAAGATACCCCTAAAAAAAATTTCAGCAGTATATTTCGTTTATGTTGAGCTTGAAGTGTCTTCTTCCCCACTAAAACCCTAGCCGGCCTCATTCATTTTTTAGTCTTTTTCTCTCGGGTTTGGTAGCTAAGAGGGAGGGAGAAGCGATTCAAATGGTCCAATGGAAGGTTACTAAGGGTAAGGGTTAAAAGGCTTTCAAAGATTCGAGCACTTGTATGTTTAAATCAAGCAAAAAAACCATGGATACGCAGCTGCGTTGGCTGTTATCAAACAGATGAAGATATTACATTTTTGACATAATTGACCACTCGGGTTTAAGCATATAAACATAATCTACCCTTAAGCCAATTTATCTAATTAAAACAGTTTCTGGAAATTGCTATTTACCCCCTTGATATATATATATATATATATATATATATATATATATATATATATATATATAGAGAGAGAGAGAGAGAGAGAGAGAGTTAGGTTCAAATGTGGATTGACATCTATTGTGCAGATGTGTGGACAGTGTTATTCTGTGAGAATGACAAAGAAATATGTTGTTTGATAATATGAATACATTCAATCTTACATAACTATTGTCACCATCACACATTCTCACTAATTAAATCGTCTATAAGGTTATTATACACTTTTTATTATTATTCTCATTCTGTCAGAATGTTTATTGAGTCGTATTATGTAAGAATGAGAAAGAGTGAAAAATTATGTGTGCGGACAAAAATGAATAAGAATTAGTGAGAATGCATGAAAATGACGATAGTTGTGTGAGGTTGAACGTATTCACATTACTAAACAACTTATTTCCTTAGTAATTCTCATAGAATAGCATTGTCCACACGTCCACATAATAGTTGTCCATCCACTGATAGCACTATTGCTAGATCAGGACCATTATACCCTTGATACAAACTAATAAACATGTGGAAATCTAACCTTGGTTTTCGATACAGATTCACCACGAAACTAAGAGTTAGTTGTCCAAGTTCACCTTCTAATTTACCTGTTAAGAAATTAGAATAGCAGGGACACGAAATTATTCTGAAGTATCACAGAATAATACAAACTTTTGAGAATCCAAGAACTGACTTTTCATTCTCAATTCCCAGTACATAACGTGAAACAAAATAACCGCTCCTCTACTAGTTCCCATGATCCTATTTTAAGTGGAGAACCAACTAACTGTTCTGATAAGTTCAAATTAAATAACAAAGACATAAAATTAAAACATGCTTTTTTTGGAATTAAAAAGTCGTAGCTTGTAACTGAATCAAATTGATCCACTTCTATTTGATCCTGGTGGTGTTGGGTCAATGGTTGGAGCCTTCCTATCATCCTCCCCCTCTTCAGAAAAGTTTGTCCCCAAACTTGGAATTGGCTCATCGGGGTCAAAGTAAAGGTTGTAGGTCAGCTACATTAAAAGTAGCAGCAACGCCATAAGTACCTGGGAGGTCAATCTGATATGCATTGTCATTGACTTTGGCAAGGACCTTGAAGGGTCCGTCAGATCGAGGACTCAGTTTAGAGCGGCGTTTCGATGGAAACCTTTCCTTGCTTAAATGTATCCATACAAGATCACCCGGTTGAAACAAGATGTGTTTGCGGCCTTTGTCACGACGATACTTGAGAAGCTCGTTATTTCTAGTGATTCGATTGTGCACCTGTTGATGGATGGCTTTAATATCAGTTGCTAAATCACTGGCTTGCTGACTGAATTTGGAAGTCGTATCAAGGACTGTCAGATCCAGTGGGGTGGAAGGATTCAAACCATACACGGCCATAAAAGGACTGATTCCAGTTGTTTTATTCGGGGCCCGATTGTAAGCAAATTCAGCCCGAGGTAGTAACTCGTCCCACTGTTTCAGGTTGGTTGTAATAAGGGTACGTAATAAAGAGCCAAGAGTGCGATTTGTAACCTCGGTCTGTCCATCAGTTTGCGGATGGCTTGAAGTGCTAAACTTGAGTTTGGTCCCCATTTTTCGCCACAATGTCAACCAGAAGTGGCTAAGAAATTTGACATCTCGGTCACTAACCATCGTTCGGGGTATTCCATAGAGACGAACAATTTCTTTAAAATAGAGATTGGCGACCTGAACAGCGTCATATGTGGTATGACAAGCAATAAAATGGGCCATCTTTGAAAATCTGTCTACTACAACCATCACAGAATCTTTCTGACGCTGTGTCCGTGGCAAACCGGTAACGAAATCCAAGCTAACATCTTCCCATGGAGCAGTGGACACCGGTAATGGCATGTATAATCCATGTGGTGCAGAATGACTTTTGGCTCGATGACATTGTAAACAACGCCTGATAAAATGCTCGACATCACGAGATAGTTTTGACCAGAAAAAATGACTTTTCAGAATGTGAACTGTTTTATCAAGACCCAGATGGCCAGCTAATCCTCCCCATGAGCTTCTTGTATCAGAACAATTCGAATACTATGGCGAGGAATGCAAAGTTGCTGTCTTCTGAACAAATACCCATTAACAATGTGGTATTCACCCGCAGAATGAGTCTGGCAGTTAAAATACGACTCCCCAAAGTCGGGATCTGTTGGGTATTCATTTTTAAGCATATCGAGCCCAAGGACTTGTGGTTGAAGGGAAGTGGGTAGAGAATATTTGCGAGAAAGGGCGTCTGCACCCTTATTGAGTTTCCCGGATTTGTGTTTAATTGTGAAATTGAAGATTTGAAGAAATTCCACCCATTTTGCATGACGAGGTTGTAACTTGTGCTGGCCTTGAATATACTTCAGAGCTTCATGATCTGAGTGTAATATAAATTCTTTAGTGATCAGGTAGTGTTGCCAGTGGGTTAAAGCTCGGATTAGGGCATAGAACTCTTTGTCGTAGGTGGAGTATCTCCGCTTAGCATCATTGAGTTTCTCGCTAAAATAAGCAATTGGACGACCTAATTGGGACAACACAGCTCCGATCCCGACTCCCGAAGCATCACATTCAACTTCAAAGACTTCCAAGCAACATGGTAATGCTAACACAGGAGTGGAGGATAGTTGTTTCTTGAGTTCTTCAAAAGCAACTTGGGCAGACGAATTCCAATGAAACTGCTTGAGCTTGGTAATTTCAGTCATTGGGGCTACAATGGTACTAAATTTTTTGATAAATCGTCTATAAAAAGATGCAAGACCATGGAAACTTCGCACTTGTTGTATAGATTGTGGAACCGACCAGTCTTTTATAGCTTGAATCTTCTTATCATCTACTCGTATTCCCTGTGCAGAAACCAAATACCCGAGAAAAGTCACCTGACTTGTGAAAAATTCACATTTCTCTAAATTCCCATAGAGTTTTTCTTGATCGAGTACTTGAAACAGTTGAAGGAGATGAGAATGATGATCCTCGGGTGATCGGCTGTATACTAGGATGTCGTCAAAATTGACGACAATAAATTTTCCCAAAAACGACTTGAGTACTTGATTCATCAAACGCATAAAGGTGCTTGGTGCATTTGATAAACCAAAAGGCATAACGAGCCACTCATACAGTCCTTCTTTAGTCTTGAAAGCCGTTTTCCATTCATCTCCTTCAAAGATCCGAATTTGATGATACCCACTTCGTAAATCGATCTTTGAAAACACAGTTGCCCCATGGAGTTCGTCTAGTAAATCATTCAATCTTGGTATCG